TAAAATGACTTTGTATTTCTGCTGTATTGCAAATTGAAAACTTGGATAAAAACAGTTAATAAAATAAATAATCTTTTATAGACTCTTAACTAGCTTGGGGCACTATGAAATTAAAGAGAAATGTGTATTTGTTTAGTGAACAGATGAATCAAACATTTAATTTGAGAAATTAAATGAACACCAATATTATTGATAGTATCTTACTGTATCACACACACACATAAACTCCTCATGAAACAGAGCACTTATGGTAACTACATGATATATTCAGAAAATATAGCCTCCAGAGATTTTTGTGGGAAATCCTTTCTGCTAAAAGGAAACATTTTCAGTCTAATTATAATAGATTATTAGATTAATTTTTTAATTGGACAATGTAATTAAAATAACCCCTCATTAACAGACACAAGGGACATATCCATTGTCTAAAGTTCACTCTCAGAATTGTTGCTGCATTTTCAAAGGGTTGCAAAGTTGTTTTCATAAAGCAAATTATCATTCAAAATAGTTTGCTATGTTTGCATCAGCTGTCACTTATTGCATCAGCTGTCACTTACTGCAAATTTATTCTTAAAATAGTAGATTGACAGAATTTGTAAAACGCTTTTACAAATATGATAAATGTGACATACAGATGACCTTTACACAAGGCCACATGTTAATATTCAGGAGTATGCTTTTGTTTGTCTCGAACAATACCTGCCATTAAGAAAGCGTGGGTTGCCAATATGACCCTCTGTTAGAATGCTGGACCATTTCTGATTGGTCACCAGGAAGCATCATGTGTCTTTGATTGAAATGACATGGAAGATGTATGGTCGAAGTGCTGTACTCAGCACCACTGCTGTGATGTGAAGAAAACCACTTTGACCCAAATAGACCTGCAGTCAAACAATGTCGTACCAACCAAAGACAACATATTGGGAAGAAAAATGCTTGTAAACTGTGTGCTGGAAGATGTATTAGCCAGACGGCCATAGGGCAATCTTTGAACTATTGAAATCTTTAGAAATATTGTTTAGTTCTTGAACAATAGGTACAAACCTAATTAATCAAGCGTAGATGGTTATGCTGGCTCTTTACATAGTGAATCATTTTAGTGTAAGAATAGGGCTGTCACATTTATTTTGCTGACCACTTCACAGGTGCTTTCTTCCAAACGCTTAGTTTGAACATCCATTTTAATACCAATCGTGATTCTAATTCCAAAAATACATTACCAACAGATCCATGACACATTGCTAACAATTAATGTGCTTCCAAGTGTTTGTGTTTGTTTCCATTTTTATGTTTATGTTTTTATTGGGCTATGAGATGCTATTTTTTAGATTTTTGTTCTTGTTATTTTTAATTTGCAGTAGGAACATTTCTGACAGCTCCCCCAGAGGAGTATTTTAAACCTGCTGTAATATTAATGAGTAATGCTGCAAGCAAGCTGTACAGTTTCAATCTAAAATCCCTAAGTGCAGCCCCATCCTGGAAAATGCTGTAAAACTCTAGTGAATTCCCATGTACATTCAGTTCCTGTTGAATTGAATGGGAGTTGAAGGAATTCAGTTCTTTTCAAGATTAGACTCTTTTAATATCCAGGGTGCCACTAGTTTCCATTGTCTGGCACATCAACATACAAATAACTAGAGCCCTGCAGATATCCACAGACAATTGTGCAGATAGTGGATTGGATGTGAATAGAATCCTGCTTAACTCACCCGCAGCACCTGGCCCGTGGCAGCTGGCTTAGGCAGTCACGAGGGTGCAGCTTGCGTGGGGCTGGTGGCCAGCAGTCAATGGCTGGGGCTGGGAGGCAGGCCAGAAGCAGGGCTGTCTAGCACTTGCTCATGTGTCACTTCCTGTCCAGTAGCTTAGGCCCCTCTCAAGCAGTACTGGCATCCTCATCATGACTTAGGCCAGGAGCACTGGCTAGTCTGCTGTCTCCTGGTCTCACTCTCTTGCCACGGGGATTGGAGTGGGTGGGGAACAGCCCTTCCCACCACTCTTTATCTCCCGTCGCTGCCCTTATTCTGCCTCTTTCCTGCAACACCATCCTTGCTCATTCATCTCTGCTCAACATGCATCCCCTCATCTCTAGCCTGTGAAAGGTGGCTTGCTGCTGCTGGCTGGTAGATGTCAGGTTGGATGCATGTTGATTGTGGCAAATTCAGATTGGCTACAGATCCACATTTTTGTATTCGTGCAAGCTCTACAGATAACTACAATCTTAACAAATGCTCTAACAATTAAAAAATAATGTAGGGAGCCTAATGGCTGAAGACTTCCAGGCTGCTGACAGCAAACAATAACTTAATTAAGCACATATCTGTATTGCTTTCTAGAAGCTGTTTTTCTGTTAGTGATATAATCTCACAATTAATTTGCATGGTCAACAAACCAATTATGAGGACATTGACTACTTCTAATTTTACCTCAAACTATTGAGTACTGCAGCATTCAGAAAATAATGCGAACCATCACAGTGTTGGGTTATGGTTAATCTCTAAATAACATTTTTTTGCGGAGGATGCAAATTATAAGAACATAAGAACATAAGAACGGCCGTACTGGGTCAGACCAAAGGTCCATCTAGCCCAGTATCCTGTCTTCCGACAGTGGCCAGCACCAGGTGCCCCAGAGAGGGTGGACCGAAGACAATGATCAAGTGATTTGTCTCCTGCCATCCCTCTCCAGCCTCTGACAAACAGAGGCCAAGGACACCATTTTATCCCCTGGCTAATAGCCTTTTATGGACCTAACCTCCATGAATTTATCCAGCTTCTCTTTAAACTCTATTATAGTTCTAGCCTTCACAGCCTCCTCTGGCAAGGAGTTCCACAGGTTGACTACACGCTGTGTGAAGAAGAACTTTCTTTTATTAGTTTTAAACCTGCTACCCATTAATTTCATTTGGTGTCCTCTAGTTCTTCTATTATGGGAACTAATAAATAACTTTTCTTTATCAGTCCTCTCCACACCACTCATGATTTTATAGACCTCTATCATATCCCCCCTCAGTCTCCTCTTTTCTAAACTGAAAAGTCCCAGTCGCTTTAACCTCTCCTCATATGGGACCCGTTCCAAACCCCTAATCATTTTAGTTGCCCTTTTCTGAACCCTTTCCAAGGCCAAAATATCTTTTCTGAGGTGAGGAGACCACATCTGTACACAGTATTCAAGATGTGGGCGTACCATAGTTTTATACAGGGGCAGTAAGATATTCTGGGTCTTATTTTCTATCCCTTTACTAATAATTCCTAGCATCCTATTTGCCTTTTTGACCGCTGCTGCACTCTGTGTGGAAGTTTTCAGAGAACTGTCCATGATAACTCCAAGATCTCTTTCCTGATTTGTCGTAGCCAAATTAGCCCCCATCATACTGTACGTATAGTTGGGGTTATTTTTCCCGATGTGCATTACTTTACACTTATCCACATTCAATTTCATTTGCCATTTTGTTGCCCAATCACTCAGTTTGGTGAGATCTTCTTGGAGTCCCTCACAGTCTGCTTCTGTCTTGACTATCCTAAACAGTTTGGTATCATCTGCAAACTTTACTACCTCACTGCTTACCCCTTTCTCCAGATCATTATGTTTTAAGAATTGTAATCAAACATGATGACTACATTTATAGTAACTAAGTTGCACTGTAACCTAGGCTATGGTTCAGGAAAGCATTTGAATGTATGTTTAAGTCCATCCCTATTCTAGACAGAAGTTAAACATGCTTAACTTTAAGCAAGTGCTCAAAGTCAAGTATGTGTTCTATCCTGAATAAAGATACTTTTCTTAATTATGGCCTAAATGATGTGCTGAATAGAAATGGCATACTTAAGCACATGTTTCACTAAGCACATGTTTAAATGCTTAGGTCCTGTTACAATAAGGTACTTAAGTACATATGTAAATACATTGTTGAATTGAGGGCATGCACTCTATAACTTTTGAATGCATTAAGAAAACATTATTTTTTGCAGTTCTAAATATAAGCATTAACGTTCATTACTTATTGTTTATTCCTGTGTTGTAATTATGGTATTGCCATATTAAAATCAGTTATGTATATAAGAAACTTCTAATTTCACATGGTAGGTACAGACTGAGTATTATCTCCCCCTGTCTGGGGAATATGGGTGCTCTCCATCTCATTGCTTGCCTCAGTGGTTCACTACAGCTCTCAGTCTAACCTCTTTATTTCATGGGAAAGACATAGTCCGATTTAGCCACTCTCGTAATTGGCATAGCAGGGGGAAAATGAAGGGGGAAAATCTCTTCATCTCTAGTGGCCTCTCCAGACATGGAGGCAACAGATTAGATTTCTTAACTCAGTTTCTCCCCCTCTAGCAGGGTTTACCCCTCTTAGATTTCTGGGCTGTTCCCTGGGCAGGGCTCTCCCTGCCCCTCACTTCTGTACTTGCAGGGTTCCTTCTTGGTACCTGAAAGTGTCTGCAAACTTCCTGCTCTCTTGCAGCATATCTTCCTTTCCACTGCTCCTGGTGCACCACTACACTAACTAAAGGGGGGGGCTTACAATCAGTTCCAGACAGTCCTTGATTGATTCCAGGTATCCCAATCAAACCTAACTATATCAACTGGTTCTAGCAGGTTCTAAATTGCCTCCAAGTGTCTTAATTAACTTGCAGTAGACCTTGTTTGGTTATCATGGGAACAGAGACTTGTTTAACCTGTCACTAGTATACCTGCTTCCTGTTACTTTCATGCAGCCATCTGTGTTCTTGCAGGCTACTGGTGTTAGGGAGTTCATGATTCATGTTTTGAGGCTTTTCTCTACAACTACATGAGTCAGAAACATACTTTTTCTTTATAATAAAACCTGACATCGCCTGATTCCAATAGCTGTGGCTTTCAGAAAAAACACCAAATAGCATCAGAGATGACACCACGGAGTACGTGAAAAATAGTTATTTTCCATCTGTCTTCATTCTGCTGTAGTTTGATAAATGTAATACAAATGTATGTCTTTTAACTTTTTTTTTTCTCTATTTTAGTCTCTTTTAGAAGAAGACAAAAACAAGTTGTACCAACCAATAGACCCATTCACCTTAAATATAAAGTTCCAAAATTACCTCCACCAAGCTTGGCTTCTAGTGAGGAAAATCTGTCTGAAGCAATTGTCCAGCCACCTACACCATCAATTAGAAACCAGGAGACCCCTTTACCACAGACTATTAAAACAGAAGAAGAGAAAGTATCACCTGAGCTGTTACAGACTAACACAGAAATTGATGAAGATACAGAGTTAGATGAACTAGACAAGCTTAGGAACAGTGTTTCTCCATTACTTTCTGAAAAAGAACACACTTCCTCAGACTGCAGTAGGCCAACTTCAAGTATAAAAAGCAACCTGACATTGTTCAGCTTTGAGAGAGAAACTGATTGGTCAGGTATGTACTATGTAAATTCCTTTCTCTCTAATATTTTTCTACTGGTATTTATTTACTCCATTTTACTTTTAGACTAGTCGTCAGCAGGACAGTATTTTAGGTGGATAGATAATAAATTAAGATATGTTTGAATCACCTATCTTGTGTATCATGCTTCCAAAACGAGTTGAAGAGAGTGACCATATTTTCTGTTGCAAATGAAATAATTAAATATTGAACTGTTTTTATTACTCCCCAGCCCCCACCACACACATACCCTGTGCCCTCAAGCCCTTGCAGTGCTAAATGCTCCTGTCTTTGGAACCTGATGAGAAATCAAATTACATTTTTAAGGATACTCATGTTTTCTGTATGGTAGGGCTAATGACAAGAAAAAGATATCAAAGTGCAACCCTTTCTCCCAGGTAAGGATGCATAATTACTCAAGTAATCCCATTGGGTCACTGAAGAAGATGTCTAATGTATGGGGGATGGTGTTTCAAGTACCAATTTCTTGGGGCACGTCTATGCTAGGAGATAAGGTCAAATTAAGATACGCAACCTCAGCTACGTTAATTGCGTAGCTGAAGCTGAAATACCTTAATGCAACTTTTGGTGCTGTCCACTCTGCAGGAAGTCGAAGGGAGAACACTCTCCCTTCAACTTCCCTTACTCCTTGTGGAAGGGTTACCGGCATAGACCAGAGAGCCCCTCTCCGTTCGAATTACTGTGTCTTCACTAGACCAACTAATTAGAACCCTGGAAGATCAACAGCCGCAGCTTCTATCTTCTCTGTAGTGTAGACATACCCTTGGTTACTGTATCCTGATGAGATTGGATAAACCATTTTAGTCCTCACATGGTATAAAGACTTTATCATCATTCACTTGGGGTGCCTTTCCAAGATCATTTGTGTCTTTGTCACTCATGAGTGACGTGCTCCTTGCCAATAAAATGTTTATGTATCTGTATAGTGAGAATGCTGTTTTTCTGGGTGCATGTGCCTTTCATGCACGCGTGTCTGTATATATTTGCACAGATACTTAAAAATAGCTATTTTACAGATTTTACTATAGAACTTTCCAGTACAACCATCAGCAGAGAAGGCAGCACACTTCCTTCTCAGATTCACTCTCTCTTTTTCTATGTCAGCAGAGGCTTCTTCTCACACAGAACTTGAAGCAGCCAGTAGCAGGAGCCAAACATCTTTCCAACCCATTCCGCATAGAGGCTCTCTATCGGTGGCAAGTGGTTTCTGCGATGGTTTTATGAGCCCTCGTTTGAACAGTTCCAGTTACCATGGTACTGCAGACATTCTCCAGGATTCATCATATTCTGTGAAAAAATGCTCAGGGCAAACATCTTCTTTCGTAGAAATTTGGCATGACCGTTTCCTTCACCACTGGCCTGTTCTTCCACCGATCTCCCCACAAAGAGGTTAATAAATGTTTATTTTTTCCTCTGTTTCCATATGGTTTGTTCACAGGCTTTTGCTTGTGTGTGTTTGAATGCTCACTTGCATTGACTGCTGTGAGGGAATTGTTCCACGAATGCTGGCCATCTTCAAATCAATGCCTGCACATAACAACAGAAAGTGCCTCAGATGTAGTGGTTTCCACAGGACCATTGTTAGGCTTTTGTGAAGCATTTTTGAACCTAATAAATAATGTCAAAAGTCTCTATCTGAGCCAAAAATGTTCCTTTTGAAACAGCTCTAATAGTATTTTTTTGTTCTGTGATGTCTCCCAGTGTTGCAAAGAATTTGAGCTTCACAATAGGAATCTGGTGTATCGCGTGCCACTTTGCAAAGTGGTTTTTTTTTTCAATAAAGCCTTTTTATTTTGTGAAGAACACCCATCTTTTAACTTAAATACATTTTTTTGTTAAATAATCATCCTCATTTTGAACATTACTCTTTTAAATGAAACTAAATTCCACAAAATACAGTATGGTCAAATTTTAATGATGCAGGAATGAAGTGAAGGAAAATGAAATATTGAACTCAATTACATGCTATTTCAATGAGTTTCCTCGGTGTTGTGTTGTATAATTTATAATTAAATTAAGGCCAAAGCCATTTGCTTTATGCACTGAGAAGCAATGATCACTATGGTCAAACATAATTGGAATGGTCCTTACTGGCATAAAAATCCTTTAATCTAAATCCTGATGACAATATATGATGAAAGAAAGTCCAATTAACTGGAGCCTCACTACAATTCATTATAGGCCATATACTATGCAATAGCAACAAACTCAGATTATCCTTAAACAGCAGTATAATTTGTAGGCAATATCACCATCAGGGGAGCTGACAGCCTTGCTGGACCCCTAGGCAAGGTAGGGGGCAGCTCTGCGCTCTTGGAAGGGGTGGGGCCTCAGATGGAAGGGGCAGGGCTGCTGTAGCCAACCCTCAATATCACCCAGACCATGGCATGACCCCTCCCCCCAGCCCTTGGTCCTGCTTGGAATGTGCCTCTTGGTGCTCTAATGGTGATTTAAAGGACCCAGGGCTCCAGGTGCTGCTGCTGCTTCAGTAGCACCAGCAGCAGCCAAGTCCTCAGGACCTTTTGAATCTCTAGATCCATGTCAATTGACCCCCTTTCCCCCTCTGTTGACAGGCCTGATCATCATGTCTAGGATATAGTAGTCTCTCAAATCTACCTACTGCCAGGGAGCACATTTACTAGATGTATTTGATTTCTGTGCATTGTACTTTCCTTTTTTATTTTTGGGGAGGTCTTGATATTTGTGGGAAAGTAAAAAGACTTACATGTGTGTGTGTTGAGTCCAGTATGGTTTTAAGCTTATTTGATATTGTAAGTACCGGTTGAACCTCTCTAGTCCAGAACTCTCTGGTCCAGAAATATCCATTGTCCAGAATGATTTTAGTGAGCTGGATATCCACATATCATGGGTGTGGCCAAATTTTTCACATTCCCATAAAGTGTGTTTAGCCACCAGCTCTGGCTTTCAGTGTTCTGTGCTGTTATTTAGCTCTAATTTACCCCTAAACATCTTCTGACAGCCCAGTAGGCAGTGGAAGTGTTGACCGTGTTGCTAGACAATATTGACCCTGATGGCCCAGAAAATTTGCTTGTTCAGAACCGGTCAGGTCCCCATGGTTCCAGTCTAGAGAGGTTCAACCCGTATTCACTTACCTTCTAAGGTATCTTTCATTCATAGAAAGATAAATTGCATTTTGACATGGGGGGGGGGGCTATAGTAGAAATAGATACTATATGATATACAGACAGGCTACCTTTTGTGTTTTCAGGGATCAATGCAAGGCCAAAAACAAAATTAAAGTCTCTGCAACTGTATTACAGAACATCATTCTAGACATTGGCACTGATACATTTCAGCCTCTAATATTCTGTGCTGTAGTTCAGCTGACTTTTGTCAGTGTTCATTTTTTTATGTAGTCCATATTTAAAAAATGTCACCGTACATCTATACACCATTGGTAGGCTCTGCACTATGGAAATTGTTACAGCAGGTGGTACATATTGTAAATGCTGGTTGCCATGGCTTCCCAAGGAAACAATGGCTTCCAGTAAGTGTGAGTTGATAAGACATGGTGTGCAAGATTGCACCTCATATCCTTTTTGTTGGGAAGAAAAACGAGTGTCACCAATATATTTTTCTTATATATTTATAAATATTATCTCTGTAACTGAACAATGTAAAGTACAGAAAAACACTTCAAAATTACTCAAAAAATAAAAGTCCATGTTTGCCTCTGAATGTTCCATATCAAGATGAATAGAAGGATGATCTTTTCTAACTACCTTCTTCCAAATTTAACCCGTCGTCTCAAAGTCCAGCAGTGTTCTTTCTGGCTGTGCATTGCCACCTGCAATTAAGATTTTGCAATCAGAACTTAGTTAATTGTCTTGTTGATCTGTGAGCTAAAAAAGAAAAAGTATCGATGTTCTCTCTAATGTTTCCCATCCATGTGCAGGATAATTTTTGTTCTGTGCACTGAGGCATGTGTGGATGTATACCACCAGCAGAAACACATGCTGCTGGCTATGCGTTGCTGTGGGTCCTCTGCTAATCAGCTGGGCAGCATTTGAATATCTCCTGGATGGCTGCCCAAGCACACAGCTTACAGGGAACACTGGTCAGCATTGTCTGGCTATCCCAAAGGACAGGAGATACTTGATATGTTTTAATCAGGTCACATGTTTATTATTAGATGTCTGGGCCACTCAGCAGATGAAAGTATACAATACACATAGGCCAAACTGGAGGAGAAAAATTCCTTCTCAGTGCTGTTATAAAGGAGCAGCTAGCCAGATGCCCGCAGCAGGTCCCGATGAAACCTGGCATTTTGCCCCACCAAAGGGAGAGAAGGTGGGTCCTGCTTCACCTGCTCCTGGGCAAAAGGAGTTCTCCCAGCCAGGCTTGCCTATTTTAAATTCCTCAGCCCCAGGATATGAGACAGCATCTCTATGCTGATCCATTCCCTTTTTGTGGCATCTCTCCCCTCTCCAGCCCAGTGCTTTTTTTGTGACGGTACTGCCCAGTATGCAGTACTGGGAAGTCCAGTCAGAGCTTACCTGGAAAGAACAGAGTGTACTGGCACCTCTGTAATGAAAATGGCCGACAGCCAGCCTGTCTTAAAGGGACTGCGTCTCTTAAAAAGGGCAATGCCAGCCCCACCGCCTTTTTTTTTTTGCTCAACAACTTTTCCTCTGGAGTACTAGCACCTTCTTTTTTACACTGCTCCAGCCTATAATCACGGTTCCATCTCCCTTAGCAAGCCGCACTATAGCCCCCCAGCATAAAGGTGCCGTGCAGACATTTGTTCTGAAAAGCAAATGGAAGTAAGAAGTCTTTAAAAAAAAACCTTATTTTTATACTTAATCACATGGCTGGATTACACAAAGGGAGCAGTTCTGTTGTGCAGCAGACATCCAATAGTCCTGTTTCTGACTCTAGTTGCACTTTTTTTATTTTTTCCTTTTTTGGAATGCTACCAAAATCCACAGGGGGAAACAATGTCATTTAAAATTATTCCTACCATTTGAAAGTTCACAATGTGATTGTAAGTGACAGAAATGAGGAACCAGAGAACATGGAGAAATTCTATTTTTTCATGAAAATTTTAGAAATTTCTCAAGATTTCTGCTAGCTTCACAACATATTTTAGAATTTTATTTTAAGAATAATAGGGATGCACTCGTAGTGAAACTTATCAAATGCCCCCCAAATTAACAAATGTCTAAATTTGAGACCCTCCTTTGAGCTTGAGGTGCAGGCCTAATGGCATCCTGCCCCCGTCGCCTCCCGATTGGTCCTGCTTCTTAGTAATGAGTTCCTACTTCTACCTTTAGGACTTAATAATCCATCTTCTTTGGCACGTGTGCACAATTTGCACTATAACTATTGTGGAAACATTTGCAGCCAGAAATATTGTAAATAACATAGAAATCATGGTCCAGTGGCTTAACTGCTATCCTATGATACAGAAACATGGGTTCTTCTCTGAGTCTGGTAGGCTATGTCTACACTACAGAGAAGATTGAAGCAGCAGCAATCAATCTTCTTGGAGGATTTGGTCAATGGGGCCAGCAGTGGACAAGAAACATGGGTAGAGAGAGAGAGCTTGGATGCTCCAAACCCACTAATTTTTCTGCAGGAGTGCTCTGACTCTGGAGCATCTATGGAGTCTGCACCTGTGCATAAGCCTGTCTCAGCATACTGGGGATGGGAGTTGGAACAGGTGATCTTCTGAGAATGTTTTTAGTCCTACATTTCTATGATTCCATTATGTTAAGTCTCTCTCTTGGCTTGTTGCTCCATTGCTTGAACAAGAGCATCAGTAGCATCCATGTGTTTTCCCATTTTCATCATGACTTAGGGTATGTCTACACTACCCTCCTAGTTCGAACTAGGAGGGTAATGTAGGCATACCGCACTTGAAAATGAAGCCCGGGATTTGAATTTCCCGGGCTTCATTTGCATAAGCGGGGAGCCGCCATTTTTAAATCCCGGCT